GATTTTGAGGGATAACAGACTGTCAGGAAAACAGTCTGACACCAAGACTGTTAATCTCCCAGGGGGAGGGGTGGAAGCGCCATTCCTTGTGACACATCCAACTGGACTGGACAAACTGCTAGTAAATGTGGAGGAGGGAATAACCCCGCGTTAGCAGGAAGATGGAGTAGATGACCTGTTGATAGATTTTAAGCACGTAACTTGCATGTGACTGGGGACTGGCACTTAAAACAAACATTTACCATACCTAGCAGTGCCAGCAATCCCATTACGGTCAGCCCAGGCTTCCTCACCATCTGGACATGAGGTGGCTTTGTGTTGTTCATCTGAAATCGGGCAGTCAGCGTTCTCTGGGTGAAGTAATGCGGATGGTAGTTCATGAAGGCATTGTCGTTACTCAGCAAAGTGTAGTTGATAGTGTTGTTGGCTTTGGAAATGAGCAGGTTTTGATGTTGGATGATTACCTGTAAAGTAATGGGGAAAACTGGCCGTCATGCTGGGGAAAAACACTTCTTGCTGACACTCTAACGAATAGAATCCTATTTTAAAACCAACGGTCTTATTTTTGTTGAACTGCATATTCAGCATACGTGATCCTGCGGCAGTTCTACATGATGGGCTGCTTCTGCCTGGGGCCACTTTAACTCATTTCTGTGCATTTGTTTACCCGCTGAAAACAGCGGAGTAGAGCACCCTTGCTTCATTTGGATACTGTAGTGAAGCTACAGAACTAGTTTCATCCCTACGCTGCCACCCGTGTGTGCAGGATGAAGATCTGTACAGGCAATGAAAGCAAAAGCATACAACATTTTGGCTTCAAAATTCATGAAGATCATCTCAGAGTGGCTTTAGTTCACATAAGCTCTCAGGTTGGCTAACATCAGGGCATCAGTAGGATTGCGGCAGTGCGTTGACTCAGATGTGAAGGATTAACCCTACCCGTGAGAATGCACGGGGAGCAGCGGGTTCTCTGTGAGAATGCCAAGCGCTGCACAAAGGAAGAGTTCTAGACACGCTGCGTAAGCAGGCAGTGAAGGGGCTCAAGCCATGTTAGCTGGACACTGGGATTACAGTCAATGGAGATAGCTCTACTAGATTTCTGAAGAGAGTTCTGCAGTCCTTTTGGAAAATCTGGAAACTTCACAACATCCCTGAGAAACTCTTTATTAATAGTGAAGGTGGACACACATTTCCTCAGGAAGTGAAGTCTTAAGTGTCCAGAGGATGGAATTATTAGCGTGGTTTTCACAGATTCATAGATTCTAGTACTGGAAGGGACCTTGAGAGGTCATCGAGTCCAGTCCCCTGCCCGCATGGCAGGACCAAATACTGTCTAGACCATCCCTGATATACATTTATCTAACCTACTCTTAAATATCTCCAGAGATGGAGATTCCACAACCTCCCTCGGCAATTTATTCCATTGTTTAACCACACTGACAGTTAGGATCTTTTTCCTAATGTCCAACCTAAACCTCCCTTGCTGCAGTTTAAGCCCATTGCTTCTTGTTCTATCCTTAGAGGCTAAGGTGAACAAGTTTTCTCCCGCCTCCTTATGACACCCTTTTAGATACCTGAAAACTGCTATCATGTCCCCTCTCAGTCTTCTCTTTTCCAAACTAAAC